TGGATCTGAGAAATCTTTTTACAAATATATATACATATCTACAACATGAGGTATATACAAGTTTATTCAGTACAGATGCAGGAACCTAGGCACAGAGAGGTTACTATTTTAGTTTACATCCCTAAAATATAAGTACTTTTAAAGAACTACCAAAAAGACTGCTTGTAAAAACAAAGGATCAGAAACAACCTAAATAGCATGCAGCTCTAAAAAGGGATGCATTCATATGGAAAGATTTCTAAGGTGCAGAACACTGTGTGTTCAATGCTGCCATAGGCAAAAAATGGGGGAGTACGGGAGAATATATGTGCATATGCTTGTATGTGCATCAACTATGTCTGGAAGGACAGAGTCACTGGCTGCCTGTGAGAAGGGTGACTTGGGGGACAGAAGTGGGAGGGAAACTTTTCACTGCAAGACTTCTATATGTTTAAATTTTGGTCCATGTGAATATATTGTCTATTCAAGAAATGATTTTAAAAAATTTTTTTAAGTCTGAAGCAAGGTGAGGTTCTGTCATTTCCCAGGCTGATATCAGTAAGAATTGGAACAGAGGTCTGTTAGCCATGCCACAGTGGTGCCTCCCAGCCTGCCAGCGGTGTGCTTAGATGACAGTGCCAGGCATCAGGACTTCTGCTGCAGCTGCACTACCTCCCTCTGTGTGCTTTTGGACCTGAATTCCCAGCACCTGCATGAGGAGGTCTCTTCCTGTTCAGATATGCTACCAGTCCCTGGTCCTCAGGAGTCCTGCCTCCAAGCAAAAGGCCAAAGACAAGAGCTTCCTGGAACAGGGATCCTGGACTGTCCCCACCCAAAACCCCATAATCCTGACTACCGTTTCCCCAACAAAAAACTGCTTGTACCACCACAGCAGCCTGTCAGCAATTACCCCAATTACAAACCCAGAGCCCAGCAGGACCTCAATTAGTCTAGAAAGGGGCCTGAGGAGGGGCCACCTGCAAAGCATAGAAAACCCACATATGGCCTCTACCCACGGAGTAGCAATGCTTCTCTCAGTCAAGCTTAGGGGCTTGGAGACTTGGAGATTTGGTAACCCATGGTCCCGAGGAGGAGGCTGCTTGTTTTCCCTCCTGCAGTGACCATTCCGTGCAGGGCCTAGTCAAGCACTCTGCCCAGAGGGGCAGTTCCCCAGACTTCCTGCTCAGACCACACACATCCTCCCCACTAACCACCTTCCACGGCAAAGTGCAACATCTCTGGACAAACTTTGCAGAGGGATGCCCTAGGCATCAGCCTCTGCAGCCCACCATGGGCTTGGCTCAACATGCTGGGAGGAGAACCAAATTCCCATCTCTTCCCAGGGAAAAAAAGCCTCTGAATTATCCTCTATAGCATCCAGAAACAGACTGGTCCCTAGACCAATCTTTGTCCAATCTTCTGCAAATTCTCTGAGAGGGACCCCATTAGGTTGCTGAGCCCAGGACTTGGCAAGCTCTTAAATCTTCACCAAATTGGCCCCATCCCCTTCTTCTTCACAGTGAGTGTGCATGGCTGTGGGAGAGAAACTGTGTGCATATGTGTGTGTACACAGATCTCGAGTCTAGGCGTGAGAAGGTATGCAGAGAGGACCACAGGTGGATAGGAAATGAGTCTCTTAACCTGCAGCTAGATTTGGTCAGATGGAAGGAAGAACTTCCTGACCTAGCAGGAACAAACAGAAGCATATGTACGGAAGTGAAATTCAGAGCCCACAGTCAAGTGGTCACTTATCAGCTGGGGGCCTTTGGCAAGTTACTCACCCTCTCTGAGCCTCCGGTTCCTCAAGTGTAAAATGGGGACAATATTAATCCCTTTAGTTTCTCATAAAAATGAAATGAGATAATGCATGTAATGTTTCTGGCACAAAATAAGTGCTTAATAAAGGATAGCTATATTTTTGGCCAGGTGTAGTGACACGCCTGTAATCCCAGCATTTTGGGAGGCCGAGATGAGAGGACTAACTGAGTCCAGGAGTTTGAGACCAGCCTGGGCAACACAGCGAAACCCCATCTCTAAGAAAAATACATAAATTAGCTGGGTGTGGCAGTGAGCATCTGTAGTCCCAGTTACTCAGGTGGCTGAGGCAGGAGGGTTGCTTGAGCTCAGGAGGTTGAAGCTGCAGTGAGCCATGATTAGGCCATTGCACTCCAGCATGGATAACAGCGTGAGACCTTGTGCAACAAAAAAACAAAAGAAAAACCTGTTTTTCCCTTTATAATAACAGTAATAATAAGTGCAGGTAAATAGTGGGTTTTAGAGAATGATATCTATAAGGAAAAGGCCCTGTTAAAGTATGTCTGTCTATCTGTATATCACTGTATTTGGTTTTATCCCTTTGAAAACTGTTTGGCAGTACCCATTGAAAATAAATATAAGCCTACTCCTACAATTCACTCAAGAGTAGTAAAATGCCCTTCACAAAAAGACATATACAACATTGTGGACAGCAGCTTTATTTATGATATCTGAAAACTGGAAACAAATGTCCCTCAACACATGGGTGGATAAGCAAATACTAGAATATTACACAGCAATAAAAAAAATGAATGTCTGACACATGCAACAAGACCAGTGAGTATTAAGAAGATGTTGTGCAGAAAAAACTACACATAAAGGCATACATGCTAAGGCTCAAGGCAGGCAAAGGTAATTTACAGTGATAGAAATCCAAATATGGGTTTCCTTTTGAAGCAGTGTTGATTGGAAAGACATATGAAGGAACCTTATGAGGTGCTGGAGATGTTTCATATCTTGATCCAGGTGGTAGTTAAACACTGCATTATATGTCAAAATACATCAAGCTGTATATTGTTTACTATCTGTAAGTTATACTGCATACAAAAATATGGAACCAGCCTAAATGCCCACCAACCAATGAGTGGATAAAGAAAATGCAATATAGATACTCCATGGAATACTACTCAGCCATAAAAAGGAAAAAAATAATGGCATCCACAGCAACCTAGACAGAGTTGAAGACCATTATTCTAAGTGAAGTAACCCAGGAATAGAAAACCAAATACACTATATTCTCACTTATAAGTGGGAGCTAAGCTATGAAGACACAAAGGTATAAGAATGATATCATGGATCGGGCTCGGTGGCTCACACCTGGAATCCTAACACTTTGAGAGGCCAAGACGGGCAGATCACTTGAGGTCAGGAGTTCAAGACCAGCCTCGTCAACATAGTGAAACCCCATCTGTACTAAAAATACAAAAATTGGCTGGGCATGCCAGGCATGGTGGCTCACACTTGTATTCCCAGCGCTTTGGGAGGCCAAGACAGGCAGATCACTTGAGGTCAGGAGTTTGAGAACAGCCCTGCCAACATGATGAAACACTGTCTCTACTAAAAATACCAAAATTAACCGGGCTTGGTGGTAGTCACCTATAATCTCAGCTACTCAGGAAGGTGAGCCAGGACAATCTCTTGAATCCAGGAGGTGGAAGTTACAGTAAGCCGAGATCATAGGGGTAGAGGCCCTTACCTTGTAAGCCAGCTGCCCTGAATCTTGATGCCTGGACATCAAGAGCAAGATTCTCTCAAAAAAAAAAAAATTGGCGGGGCATGGTGGTGCATGCTTGTAGACCCTGTCTCAGAAGGCTGAGGCAGGAGAATCACCTGAACCCTGAAGGCTGCAGTGTGCCAAGTTCATGCCACTGCACTCCAGCCTGGGCAACAGAGCAAGACTCTGTCTCAAAAAGAAACATAAAAGAATGATATAATGGGGACTCAGTGGGAAGGGAAGGAGGGAGGTGAAGGATAAAAGATTATACACTGGGTACCATGTAGAATGCTCAGGTGACAAGTGCACCAAAATCTCAGAAATTACCACTAAAGAACTTAACCCTACAACCAAAAACCACCTGTTCCCCCAAAACTATTGAAATAAAAACTAAAAAATTGACCAGCATGGTGGCTCACGCCTGTAATCCCAATACTTTGGGAGGTTGAAGCAGGCAGATCACCCTGAGCTCAGAAATTCAAGACCAGTCTGGCCCACATGGTGAAACCCTGTCTCTACCAAAATACAAAAAAAAAAAAAAAATTAGCTGAGTGTGGTGGCTCACACTTGTAGTTCCAGCTACTTGGGAAGCTGAGGTGGGAGGATCACTTGAGCCTGGGAGGTGAAGGTTGCAGTAAGCCAAGATTGTACCACTACACTCCAGGTTGGGCAACAGAGTGAGACCCTGTCTCAAAAAAAAAAAATGTGTTTCATAAAGTTATACTGGGCCGGGCGTGGTGACTCAAGCTTGTAATCCCAGCACTTTGGGAGGCCAAGACGGGTGGATCACGAAGTCAAGAGATTGAGACCATCCTGGTCAACATGGTGAAACCTCGTCTCTACTAAAAATACAAAAAAAATTAGCTGGGCATAGTGGCACATGCCTGTAATCCCAGCTACTCAGGAGGCTGAGGCAGGAGAATTGCCTGAACCCAGGAGGCAGAGGTTGCGGTGAGCCGAGATCGGGCCATTGCACTCCAGCCTGGGTAACAAGAGCGAAACTCCGTCTCAAAAAATAAAATAAAATAAAGTTATACTGCGCGCGCGCGCACACACACACACACACACACACCCTATCTTGGCATGAGGAAAATCCCCTAAGGTAGAACAGTAATACAAAATTCAGCCCTTCTCCCTCCCTTTCTCTGGACTTTATGCCAGCTAGGCATCTAAAACTGCCTCCCTGCATGGCAGTTGCCTATTCTCTTTAGGCTTTGTGGGAGAAAACTGAGCCAGGAATGGGGACCAAGGGGGAAAGGGCTCTCTCTGGCATCCCCTCATAGGTTAGCATGGGGGTGGAGACTGCAGGCCTTACCTTGTGAGCCAGTTGCCCTGAACGCAGAGACCTCTCTGTTTCTAGTAAAGTCAAGTTTTAATGTTTCAGACAGGTCCTCACCATGATCAGAGACTAGGAAGGCGTCCTTGTCCTTGCCATGGTTAGGCAAGGACATGGCAAGGACAAGGACGCCTCCCTAGTCTCTGATCATGTCCTTGCCTAACCAACACCATAGTCATGCAGCTATAATGAGCAAGTAGCCCCAAATGACAGAGAACTCTCAGATCCTGAGCTGCCTTTAAACAGTCAAACCACTCTTCCTTGGCTACAATCCCTTTCTTGGAAATTCTAACTTCATTATAAGGAAAGTGGCATTTTCCAATTCTGTTGAGCAGAGCCATTTTCTAATTCTATTAGAAGGCATTAAGCCCATCCTGGTGGGAAGCACTGAGTGAGAAGTGGAGGGCAGAATCTCTGCCCATAAAGGCTTACAGTCTGGCTGTGGAGAAAGGCAACAAAGCAACTTTTAAGAGCACATCATGTTCCTAAGCAAGTCTGGGGCCTTCTGGAAAGGCACTCACTGTTCAAAGCTGAACAAAATGGCTTTGGGCCATGAATGTCATGAGGAATATCAGAGGAAGCTTGTCAGAAGCTCCCGCCACCCTAGAATCTGCCTCTGAGAGCATCCCAGGGGTCTTTGGAGGGAGGAAGGCCTCATATGGCCCAGGACCCAACCCCTTCTGCCTTTCTCCAAGTTAGCCTCCACCATGAGAAAGGCCTACAACTGCCCTGCATTCTGCCTGATCAAAGGTGGGGCACATACTCCTGGGGACAAAATGATGCTAGTGGACTCGTAACCCAACATCAGCAAGGTAAGAAGGAGCCCAGAGCTCTGGTCTGCTGCCTCTCAGCCCTTCTGGGGGAGAAAGACGGGAGCTCAATGAGACATTTACCAACAGAAAACAGCTCTCATGTGAGAGTTCTTCCCCAGAGAAGGAAGTTGATTCTCTGTCCTCTTTCTCAATATCTCTTTCTCCACTCCCCTACTCTCTCAGACTAATACCCACTGGCTTCAGACTTGGTGCTATGTGAGTGTGTGCTGCTGCAGCCTGCTGGTCTGAGCAGCAAGCTCAGCAGAGCTGCCAGACAGAGATGAAGCCTGTGTGAGTGGCCTGTGCATGTTACAGTGCATCTTGAATGTGCTGTGCACCTGAGCTTCTCTGCAGTCTGTGCGGCAATCCCATCATGGAAACACCTAGGTGGCAGCCCAGTCACCCCAACCACAGCCCAAGGACATCAGAAAATCAACAGGCTTCTGGGAGTCAGGCTTGTAAACATGGAGCCCAGAAGTCCTTCTGTGTCATGAGATGGGAGGGTGAGCAGTGTGTGAAAAGGCTTAGGATCTGGGCATTGGCTTGATATGTTTTCCACCAACATGTGCAGGATCTGAATTCGTATGTGTAGCTGGTGACTGGGAGAGAAGTTTTTGGGGGGGGTCAGAGAGAGGAAAACTGGAGGGGATTTGGAGTTGACTGAGAGGGAGGGAGGCAGAAGTGGGCAGAGTAACACGACCTGAGTGGTGGGACACCGAGTCCCTGAGGTGTGGGTGCAAAGGGCCGTGTGAGGGGCCAGGAGGGAGTGAGTGCGCACAGTTGTTGAGGCGTGGAGTGTATGGGGATGTAGTAATAGGCACAGCGAAGTTTTCCTTTGTTGTCCAAGCACCGCAGAGGCCATCCCTGCAAGGAGAGGGTTGCCGCAGGCTCTATTCTTCTCTCCCGCTCAGGAGTGGGAAGCCGGCGGGTGTTTCGGGGTCCCATTAGGAAAGGGGACCGAGGAACCCGGTTCAGGCAGCCAGCGGCGGCGCGGGGCCAGCTGAGCGGTTCTAGGGAAGCGCTGCCTGCCTCGGAGCAGCCGCAATGCTCCCCTAGTAGGGCTGGGCCGCCGGGATGCCGAGGCGCTGCCGCTTCTGCCGCTGTTGCAGAATTTCCGGCGCTGGAGAGAAAAGCGTCTCCATCAGCGCCGAGTAGATCGCTCGCGCGGGCTGTCGGGGCCTCCGAGGCGCGGGACCAGGCTGCAAGGAGGCGCGGGAGCTGAGACTGCGCTTAGTCGGCGGGTCCCTGGAACCGTATCCGCAAGCGGCGCTCCAGTGAGACCACAGTCAGGAGGCGCCGGTGGCTCCTGAATTGCAGCTGCCGGACCCTGAAAAACTGGGGCAAAGAGGCAGTGAGCTCTGCCCAGCCCACCACCCTGGCCTTTGGAGGTGAGCGCTGCCCGTAGGTTACTAAGCTGGGGCCTTTCGTCGCGCCAATGCCGCGGGGAGAAAAGGAACTGGCCCTGGAGTCCACAAAACCTAGGCAAAATATGCCCTGTTCAGAGAGGATCCCGACCTTGCCAGCAACCAACCTGCCTCCGACGGTTGAGAAGTAAATCAAGTCGCGCCGCACCGCTTCCTGGAACTCCCGCTCCACCGACCTCTGACTGGGTGGGCATGGAGAGGATTCTACTCTCTCCCTAGGCTTCTCTACCTCCAGCCCGAAACCCCTGGCTTTTCCGCAGAGACCTGGAGCGGACCTGAAAGTAATCATCCTGCCAGGCTTCCCGCCCGCATTTTCTGGCCTGTTTTCTGAGCCTTCGAATGCCCGACAGCCATGTGAAGACACATCTTGGGGAGACTGATTTCAGCCCTTCCCAGGGTACACGCATCAGGCATCCTCTTCTTCACCGTGGCTGGGAATTCTGTTCCTCTAAGGGACAGTCAGAAATCAGTATTTTCGAAACAGAACTCCTTTCTACTCCGAAAATCCTTTAGAGGAACTCCTTCCTTTGCCCCAACCCCTAAACACACACACACACACACACACTCCTTAAAGGCTGAAAAGAGAGCCGAGTGTGGAATTCGGGGAAGTGATGACACACACAACAATGCTGTTACACCTGGCTGCTGCAGAGCTGAGCAGCGGAAATGCCTGCGAGGAGAAGAAAGAGAGAGAGAGAGAGGCAGAGAGCCAGCCTGGGTGGTCAGAAAAAAAAAAAAGGAGAGAAAAGAAGAGAGCAGCCCCCACCAGGATGGGGCCAGACCCAGCTGTTTTTCCCCCTGTCCAGGCCCTGGCTTGGGGGAGGATAGACACTGAGGCCAATCTGCAGCAGCCCCAAACCCGACTCACCACTCCCACCCAAGGCCTGGGTACGGATGGCGGTAAGGAAGAAGAAAAACATCTGCACTCCAGCTCAGAAAGCAGCAGCAGGGATTCTATGGAACTGCTGCTTTCCCCATGTCTGTTGGGTGCAGTGGGAGAATGCCCATTAAAAAAAACTTCTTTGGGGATAGCCTTGCTCCCTCTCACTCTTGTGACCAGGCAAGGGCTGCCCTGCTGACCTCTCTGGTGTCATCTTCAAGATGCTGAATTCCAGAGAGCCTCACCACCCTTGTCCTCCCTCCCTTTCATCTCAGAATGCAAGATCAGAGGCCTGAGTGAACAGCAGACAACACTTAAAGGTGGCCTGTGGATGCTGGAGCCGCAGGCCACTGAAGGCTCCTTGGGCTTCCGGAGAACCCTCAGAGACTAAGCAGCCTGGAAGGAAGAGGCAGGGACAGGCATTGAGCCAGACACTCCAGACATGCCAATCACTAACACACAACTACATGACATCCATTCAGTCCGCCTTTCTCCATAAGGCAGTCTTGCCCCCCTCGTCAGCACCAAGGAGTTTGGAGCTTGAGGATTCAAAACACTGGCCATCTCTCTCATACTTTATGACTGCAGACTTTTTGTTAAGGTCAAGTTAAAAGCACACTGTTAAAAGGCACATCTGATTTTCCCTGAAACAATCGCTGTACATGGTGACATAACTGGATTCCAATCAGAATTCTACTTAAGGTAGGTGACAACTAACTCCTGATCCTCTGAAGAGAGATCAGAACAAACGTCTCATCAGGAGAGAGATTTGGACAAGTACCTTCCTCAGTCTGATGTTTTTCTTCCCAGCCGGTGACAAAATACATACACTGGGAGGGAAAGAGGCATTGACAAAAGAAAGTGGGGGAAGGAAGAAGAAAAAGAGAGAGAAGATGCTATATCCACCAGCTACTTTAATACTTGGTGCACGTACTACATATCTATCAGTGTAGGTGTGTTTTACCTTGTAAATACCAACCTCACACCTTGTACATGTGCATACCTGTGTTTTTAAGCAGCACACATGCACCTGGTATCTCACCCATCTCAAGGACAGCTCCTCTCCATGACTTCCACATGTGACCCCTGTGCACACACATACACAGTCCCTCAAAGTCCCGGGCCACATCCCCGCCTGCATTAGCACAATAGCCGAGGGGCATCCACTTGGTGTTGTTAAAGCACACATCCAGCCTTCACCCCAACCCCGTAGGAGTAGTACGCGGATTCCAAGGAGAAGCCTGGTTCCTAGATCCACTGGCAACGCAGGAAGAGGCAGAGGCGATTCAGACGGCGCCCCTAGGCGACTATTCCGAGAGATCCTCTCCCCAGCCCTATTCCAGCCCCGTCACTCTGAGAGCGCGAGGGACAGGCCAGACCGAGGTTTCTTCGTACAGTCACATGCGTTTCTGGGCTGACTTTCCCAAAACCTCAGCGTAACTCTCCCACCCTACCGCGTCCGGCCCCCTCGGTGTCTCGCCCCTCCCTGGCCCCGAGCTAGAAGTTCAGCCGCAAGACAGCGACAAACAGCAAAGGAAAAGAGTCGTTTTCTTTCACCTGAAAGCCGCGAGGAGGCTTGGAGCGCCTCTCCTCGCTGGGGCCCGAGCTTCCTGGGCTCTGGTCGGGTGCGGGCGGAACCCCCCGGGGTCATCGTCATCTCCCGGCCCAGTCCGCAGAGCAGGCACCGACAGATTTCAAGGGCTCTTGAGAGCGTGAGCCAGGCTGTCGGCTGGGCCCCCGAGGCTCGCCGGGTGGGGGCAGGCCGGTCCAGGCTGTGCGGGGCGTTTACAAAAAGTGACTTGGAGATGAACTCGCCCGTGCGCGGCTGGCCGCCCCGCTATAGGGGCGAAGGCGCCTGACGCAAGCGGAACTTGGTGGAGCCCATACGAATCAGAACAGAGCGAGGCTCCTGGCGCACTAGGGACTTCAGGAGGCTGCTCCGCCAGAGACGCGGGTCGTGCTTCGGGAAACCGGGGGGCGGGGGGAGGGGAAGAGCGCAGAAAAGAAAACCCACCGAGGCGGGGACTGGCCTAGGCGGGGAGGGGCGGCGAGGCCGGAGCCCCTCTCTGTTGGGCGGACTCCCCATGGCCAGAGGCTGAGCTCCACTCCCGCCAGCCGCTCCCTAGGGGAAGGGGAAGGAGAGGGGAGAACAGCTAGAGGCCTCCAGCGAGCGAGAGAGCGCGGGCGGCATCCGCAGTCTCCAGAAGTTTGAGACGCGGCGGCGAGCGGACTCGTGCGCCCCAACTCTTTGCCGCGCCAGCGCCTGGAGCGGAGAGCAGAGGCGGCCCGGCCGCGGCGAGCCGGCTTTGTCATGATGGCCAGCTACCCCGAGCCCGAGGACGCCGCGGGGGCCCTGCTGGCCCCGGAGACCGGCCGCGCAGTCAAGGAGTCAGAAGCGCCGCCACCGAGCCCAGGCAAGGGCGGCGGGGGTGGCGGCGGGACAGCCCCAGAGAAGCCAGACCCGGCGCAGAAGCCCCCGTACTCTTACGTGGCGCTCATCGCCATGGCGATCCGCGAGAGCGCCGAGAAGAGGCTCACGCTGTCGGGCATCTACCAGTACATCATTGCCAAGTTCCCGTTCTACGAGAAGAACAAGAAGGGCTGGCAAAATAGCATCCGCCACAACCTCAGCCTCAACGAGTGCTTCATCAAGGTGCCGCGCGAGGGCGGCGGCGAGCGCAAGGGCAACTACTGGACGCTGGACCCGGCCTGCGAAGACATGTTCGAGAAGGGCAACTACCGGCGCCGCCGCCGCATGAAGCGGCCCTTCCGGCCGCCGCCCGCGCACTTCCAGCCGGGCAAGGGGCTCTTCGGGGCTGGAGGCGCTGCGGGAGGCTGCGGCGTGGCGGGCGCCGGGGCCGACGGCTACGGCTACCTGGCGCCCCCCAAGTACCTGCAATCCGGTTTCCTCAACAACTCGTGGCCGCTGCCGCAGCCTCCCTCACCCATGCCCTATGCCTCCTGCCAGATGGCGGCGGCCGCGGCGGCTGCGGCGGCTGCGGCTGCGGCCGCGGGCCCGGGTAGCCCTGGCGCGGCCGCTGTGGTCAAGGGGCTGGCGGGCCCGGCCGCCTCGTACGGGCCGTACACACGCGTGCAGAGCATGGCGCTGCCCCCCGGCGTAGTGAACTCGTACAACGGCTTGGGAGGCCCGCCGGCCGCGCCTCCGCCCCCGCCGCACCCCCACCCGCATCCGCACGCACACCATCTGCACGCGGCCGCCGCACCGCCGCCGGCCCCACCGCACCACGGGGCTGCCGCACCGCCCCCGGGCCAGCTCAGCCCCGCCAGCCCAGCCACCGCCGCGCCCCCGGCGCCGGCGCCCAGCAGTGCGCCCGGCCTGCAGTTCGCTTGCGCCCGGCAGCCCGAGCTCGCCATGATGCACTGCTCTTACTGGGACCACGACAGCAAGACGGGCGCCCTGCATTCGCGCCTAGATCTCTGAGAGCCCACCGCATGCCAGTTCGGACGGATGCGAGGATGCAGGAACGCGCGGCGCCGGCCCTGGTCGCAGCCGCAGCCGCCAGCCGAACCTCGCACCCTCTGGGGCCGCCTCTGGAGCCAGTGCCCAGGGTCCCTCTGTGCTTTTTCGCTCTCCTCAGCTCCTCTCGCCCCTCTTTGTCCCTCTGCTTGTCCTGTGCTCACCTCCGTGACCTTTATGCCCTTGCACTCCCCCGGCCTGAAGCCGCCTCTCTGCGCGCTTTCTGCTGGGCTCTTCTCTTTCCGGAGCCCCAGCGTCTCCTGCCCAAATTGACCGCGGAAAGCGCCCAGGACCGAGGTGCGACCCGGCGTCGGCGGCGCAGACCTCTTGGCCTTCTCTCACAGGTCGGTGCGCTAGCGCTCGGCGTTCCCCGCCCGACTGCCGTGCAGTCTTTGGCTACACGCGCCGGACTGGATTGGCGGCGGGACCCGCGCCGCGGGAGAAAGGGACGGACCAATTTGTGTGTTTGCTCCGCGAACCCTCTTGAAGGTGTTCAGAAGCTGCTTGCCGCGGGGCCCACTAGGCGTTGCGGGGGTTAGGAACCAGCGGGAGCCAGGGCAGCCCGGTCCGAGGCCTGTGCTTAGTTTACACCACGGACCCACGCAGAGGGAGGCTGCGTGTCCTCAGCTGTCGGTCCGGGCGCTTCCGGCACCTCCGGGCCGCGGAGGCTGGCTAACGTTTTGTTTAAAAGATCGGTGGGACTTTTTAAGAGAGTATCCCCCAAAAAAATCCTTTTTTTTTTTTTTTTTAAGGAAAAAACATTCACCGGGCAACCGGGGAAGTATTGTGGCCTTGGAGTTTGCTAAATCCAAACATGAAAATCAAAAGCTTTAGTATTCTTCATCTTCTCTTCTGGAAGATTCGTGTTAGAGTTTGTGTCGGGCCTTCAAAAAGCTGTGTTCAGAGGTAGGAGAATACATCCAATAAAAGACGATTTCGTCTACCAGTTGGGGAAGTTTCACCCGCTCCCTATCCGAAGAAAAAAAAGTCAGAAACAAATGGCCCAGGATCTTCCGATGCAAGTCCTGGATCCCGGGAGATGACTGCCTGCCTGGCCCTCGCTGCAGGGACGGCTCGTCCTTCCTGCTTTTTGTTTTTCAAACGTCCTGCTTCTCCCACCTTGGGAAGGAGAAATGTGAAACCCGACAGCGACCGACCTAGGCGGTCTTGTGGCCCCAGCCGGCCCAGCCCGAAAACCGTAGCCCTGGTTGTCCTGTAGTTTGTCGTTGGGGACCAAATTTTCTAGAGAAAACTAGAGCACTTTTGTTGTGTTTTTGTTTTGTTTGTGTTTTTGTTTTTTGCCTTGTCGATTTCTGAATAAATTTTTTGTTCTTCCTTTTAACACGGACTTATTTATTTCCTTCGCGCCTAAGTCAGTTCAGTAGCTAGTTAAAAGTGGGAGATTTTCAGCAAAATTTTGTCTTTTTCAGAAGGAGCTAAACAAGGATTGAGAGCAACCGGGGTGGCGGGCGTTTGTGGCTGTCGCTGCTGCTTTGTTTTTCTGGGGATTGTTTGTTTTCGGTGTCATCACTGGCCCGTTGCAGCTGTTTAACGTCGGCAGAAAGACTTTCTGCCGCGGTTCGTTCACAAAACGTTACTGTAGGTAGGACTTGTTTTATTTTGTACCCATTCAAGTTTGTATTCTACCTCATGGATAGTTGTACTAAGTTTATGCGCTGGCTGTGTTTTTATTATTGTTCTCATACTTTTCGATTTTGAGTCAACTATAACAGCCAAGAATTTGTTGCAAGTATTAATAGATAAAATTCTAGTTGTGGAAATGCGCTACAAGCTGCTACCCCTGTACAAATGTGAGGAGTGACTGCTTTATTTTTAATAGTCAGGATTCATTTACCTTGAGATATGGGTAGGCGATTTGGAGGTTTCACTAAGGATTGAACATACTTCGTGGCTGCAAAAATTTAGTCTTTTTTCTTTCTCTCTCCTCCTTTACTGAGATCTTCAAATAACGAATTAAGATCCGTGCTTCCGCGCAGGCACACAGGCGTTTGACCTGGTTGCAGTCTGGTTCTCCCAGGCAGATTAGGGGGTGGTGGGCCTTCAGTCTTCTGATGGGATAGATGACTTCCGACTTCTGATGGGATAGATCAGCTGATTCTTGCGGGCTGCTGCTCAGCTGGGACTAGACCCCGCACCCAGCTGTGTGTCCCTCACTGCCCCTGTCCATTTTGGGGCCTGGCCAGCAGTGTGGCAGCAGGTCCAGGCCGGCCGGTGGGCCAGGAGAGATTTGGCACCAAGGGAATGAGCCTGCAGGCCTCTCACTTCAGCCCTCCAGTGGTCAGGGTATAGGAACCTCAGGGTAGTAGCCCTGTTATATGTAGTTGAGCAGGCATTCTCCTGTTCAGAATGCCCTCTGCCCCCGCCAACAGGCATCCTGCGGGAGGCTACAAGGCAGAAGACTAAGCCATGGGGATTTTTAGGGGGCATCACCCCAAGACTGGGACTGGAGCCTATCAGGAGCCGGCAGGAGCAGGATGGAGAGGGAGGCTCAGCTGGGGCCGGGAGCCCTAGAAGCTAGTCAGGCCTGGTGTCTGGGTGCCTTTGGTGCCCAGCTGCTCCACTGTCTGGCTGACTAAGGGGAGTTGCAGAACAGAAAGCAGTCTGCCCTGTGCATGTCTGTTTGTGTTTTCTCTAGTGTGAAAAATGTAGCCCATGGGCAATTGTGTAGTCTGTATCTGCTGCAAATGTGTATGTACAGTGTCAGTTTTATACTGGTGACAGGGTGGGAGGTGTGTGTGTCTGTCATTTGCCTGCAGAGTGGGCATATATTTTCGGCATTGTAATAACCATATGGCTAACACTTAGAAAGTGCTTACTGGGACTACAGTGTGTGGCATTCATACCTCATTGGTGATGTGTGCATTTGTGGGTGTGTATTCCTGGCTTGCTGAAAAATAAAAGAATATGGACAGAGCCTTCGCTTCATTAGGCAGAGGCTCCCTGTTCTGAGTGCTTTCAGCACTCCCCCAGCTGCTGTCTCAGAGAAAGCAGGGGAGGGAAGCCTCCAGGGCCAAGCCCTCTTGGGCAGGTAGCAGCTCACCGGCAGTGAGTCGGTGAAGTTGGTGGGGGCCAGCAATGAAGGAACAGCCTGTCTCCTCCCCTGAGAACTGAAAGGCAAAAGGCACCCAAAGCTGGGAAGGGATTAGCAGCCTAACCAA